AAACTTCAAAGCGCAAGCTTGAGGAAAAATGTTCCATTTGGAACTCAAAAAAATCAAATTAAGATAAAGTTACTTAGAATATTTCAAAAGAAATAATTCTTATTCAAGTACGGGTTTGTAGGGATTTGATTAATTGGTTACAGTATTTCATCATGATATGACATGAGTTAGAGAACCATTTGAAAACCTAGGAGTCCTGGACACCTGTTTCGTCCTAATTTGGGACTCTTCACAGCACCCACCCTCAGCTAGGGTTCAAACTCAGGTCCTTCTGGTTACAAGGCTAGCGATCTCGTACTCCTAGGTTTTCCTATGGTTTTTTAACTGATGTCAGCTCATGATGAAATCCCGTCACCAATCAATCAAATCCCAACAAACAAATACTTAAATATCAATGAGATGCTCACTGGCATCTGGCCCTATTTAGGTAGGTAGTTGCCTTGGGTTCTAGTAGAAAGTCGTGACGAGTAGAGTGTAGCAGGTTGGGTGTGAGGACAAATACTCGCCGAAGACATTGGCTAGCGGTCTTTCTATGTCATGAATTGGTAGAAGTTAAAATTCATGGGTTAGTCGTTCGGTCGGGTCCCAGAGTGGCTTAATGGTCGACGAGATCGCTAGCCTTGTAACCAGAAGGCCCTGAATTCTATCCCTGGCCGCGGATGGGTGCTTTGAAGAGTCTCAAACTAGGAAGAAACAGGTGTTCAGTACTCTTAGGTTTTCAAATGGTTCTCTAATCGACGTCATCTCATGATGAAATACTGTAAGAAGTGATTCTAGTGTCTGATATACTAGCTCTGAAGTAATGGATCAAAGTTTCAGGCCTTTTAGCATTAGTTAACAAGACCTGTCTACAATCTGAAAGGAACTGATAACCACTCGAAGATTCACGTCTGTATCATCCGGTGCTGTAGTCAAAGACTTTGCTACTGAGCCATTTCGGTTCATCAATTGATTGAGTAATTATCACTGGCAAAATGTCACACTATTTTGTTCAAAACAGAAAGAAATGACTTAACAACTATACTACGAGTTGTATAAACTTATATCAGCCAACTAAGAGCATAATCTATCATTACTATAGTTTCCATAAACATATCTGCCAATCAGAAAAGATCATAGGGAGACGATTACGTATCGCCAAACTATCCTTGTTCAATGAAAATGACGTTTAATTAGATCCCTTGCTACTAACATTCGACAAATCTGGAGCCTTGACAGTCTAGAAGCAAAACTAGACCATATAAGAGAAATATTCATCCAAATGGATACCTATCGGATTCCTTAACAAGGACATCAAATCAAAGGTATAGAGAAAAACAGAATTACTTGTAACAGAAGAGAAACTTTACATAAACCTGGATTTCGAGGGGTACTTGAGCTATGATATCCTAAGGAGAAGAATTCTATCATCTCTTGGATGAGCGTTATTCGGAGCAGCGCTAAAAGTAATGTTTCCCAGTCGTCCGGTGGTCGTCAGCCGAAGCGCTAGAGACAATATATCGAATCTGACCACTTGTATGTGCTAGTATCAGCCCACCTGTTCTTGCTGAGCCAAGTAAACCGGTTGTTCGACGGGTATCCTGTCAAAAAAGTGTTGAAAAACACTATCCCACATGGGCGCAGAAAGGTAGTAGTGACTCCATAAGAAATACGATAACTGAACACCTTGTCATCACTGGTCATTCCATCTAAATAAGAGGTGACTTCAAAGTAATCTGCAGAGTGAAGAACAGCCTACCAAAGAAAATAGGTTTTCGTCTCCTTTGCATTTCTGAAACTCTAGCCATTCAAATAAAGAAACTGGAGCTCCGCATACAAAAGAAAATTATTCAACCATTTCTACTGTCATGCTAAGAACCTTGTTGATTTCTATCAAATTAATTTTGTTTTGTTTATGTTTGTAAGTCCTTATAACTCATGTATTTCTTTAGAACTTTTATGCAATTCAATATCTTCTTTCTTTAGTATTCGCAACTTGCTAGATAAATCACTCATCTTATTACGCAACTCAGGTACACTTATTCAACTCCTCCTATGCACTAAGTATTATTCACAAATATGATTATAACAACTCATCACTACTGTTGCTACCCTTTTCCATGAGAAACTGTACATAAGTGCAATTGGTACAGATTAAAAAATGAATCCATCGAAAATACACTCCTTGTTGAACTACTTATTTTATGGTAAATTGGTGGACAATGACTAGCAGTGGAATCCAGGAAGCGCATTTCATCCTATTTGAGATTCGTAATCTTGATATGCCTACATTTCCCATCGAATGATGGTGTTCCCATTGACAGTCGGTCCAAATACCAACAATTTCAAACTCCAAAGCGCTATCCACTATAGACTACTTAGGCCACGAGAGCCACATATTTCTTGTGCAATCGATATCAGTAATTTATTTAACTCAATTTGGATATTCCCGTTGAGGCCGAGCACTTCGGTCCAATCAATCAACCGGAAAGTTAAAAATGAATTAAATAATTAAAGTGTTGGTTTGTAGGGATTCGATTGATTGGTTACAGGATTTCATCATGAGCTGACATTAGTTAGAAAACCATTGGAAAATCTTGGAGTACTGGACGGCTGTTTCATCCCAGTTTGGGACTCTTCATCAGTACGCACCCACTGCCAGGGTTCGAACCCAGGATCTTCTGGTTACAAGCTCGTAGACCATTAAGCCACTGGGACCCGATACAACGGCCCATGAATTCTAACTTCTGCCAATTCACGAGATAGCACGACTCCTAGCTGTTTTTAATAATGCATGGATGGAAATTATTCGTTTATCCAAAATAATTACCTATTACCACGTAATTATTATGAGAATGGTATATATCTCAGTCAATCATATAACTCGATTCTTTGAATGAACACAGGATTATTGAAGCTACTCATAAAAATATATGACTTTCAGAGCAATACTAATTAATTTCAGTCTGTGCATAACATTTTTTCGATTGCTTTAAGTTCCATTTGGGGGCATAGGGTTCCACGCTTGAGCTTTGAAGTCTCATTGGCAGTAATGTTGTTTTATGGAGTAGGGTTGCTAGCCTCCCAGCCACACACAAACTTGCCTCTTTGACAGGCTTACTACTACGGGTTGGACGATGTTTAGAAGAGTGCCAGTTGGGAGTCGAACTGCGGGCCACGTAAGGCGCCGCGCGTCTCTATTGCGTTCGGTTTTCTGCCAACGTTTTCACCTGGCTCCACGTCTGCCCACATTTTTGCATCTCCTCTTCACATGACCTCCTCCAAGTCACCCTTGCACTGACGACCAACTCGCCGCTTCCCTTTCGGGTTCCACTCGAGCAATAGCCTGTATTGTGATGTCACTTGATGGTTTGTTTTCTCAGAGTTTGGCAAGTCCAGCTGCATTTCTTCCTGCAGATTTGTTGCACAATCGGTTCCTCGTTGGTTCGCTCATTGCCAGAGATCCCTGTTGCTGACCTTTTCTGGCCGGCCATCTGATCTTGAGTAATGAAGGTCTGAAGTTTGTTTGAGATGCTCTTTATGACGCGCCAAGTCTCTGATCCGTATAGTAAGTAGCACTGACTTCACATTGGATTTGAAAATCCGGATCTTATTTTCATTTTCATGCTGAGTACTGTTGACCTGCGCACAGACTTGAGAGTAATGAATGCTTGTCTTGCTTTTCCGATTCTTGCTCTGCTACTCTCGTCAGTTTCGCCTGTAGTTGAAGAGTAAGGCGTGGTTGGCAAGTATTCTACCACTGGGCCGCCTACTGTGCATCACATATAAACATATTACTTAGAATGGTCAAATTCTTCGAAACCACTGTTGCAACACATGACCGAATATTATTCAGTGATCACTAGGCATTACGTTCATAATTAAAAAGCCTTGAAACAGAACAATAGAGGATATGGTTTATCTTGACAAAGCATGACAAATCGAATTTTTAGGTACAATGGCTTCGTCTTTGGTAGCTGTTGTAAGTTATCTTGATCAAACGCACTCATATTGTGTAACCTGATCAGTAAGAAGTTAAGCTTTCTAGAGAGCTTGAAAGAAAATGATAGTATTTTTGAGAAGCTTCTTAGGGTAAGTGGACATCTAAAATGATTCATTTCGAAGAATTTTATACGCCAGTATAGTCTTTGCTTTCTCAGTTTGTCAATTCTTGTATTCTACCCATCCCCCTTTACTGCTCCCGATTAATCTTTCCTGGACTACTTAAGAAAGATTTCGCTGTGCTGAGAAGGGCACTAAAAGCCGTTAGTAGGGCAAGTGGGATATCATTAAACCAACTGGTTAACACTATTGTGGATAGACATATAATGTCATGTAAGAAACTAGCGAATACTATATTGTCAGACCCGAGATCCTCTCTATACGCAGCTCTCTCCTTGCATTTCATCTGGTAGAACTAGAAGCAGCTATAGGAGGCTATATGCTAGGACTACCAAGTACAAATGCTCCACAATACCATATCTGGCACAGCTGTTATGTGATAAGGAATCCGTTAGGTATGACACGATCAACTTACTGCAGCACTCTAACAAATAGTTTCCATTAGTTTTTGTTTTCCTTTCCTCGTTACTATTATATTGTTGTTCACATCTTCTATTACACACTAATTTTATATTTCATATCCTGTGGTGCATTGTTTAAAATGTAAACGCAACGCTGTTCTTTTAATTTTTCTTGTTCTTCTTCTTTTTTGGGGTGTTGCTTTTAGACTTTAAAATCTTATAAAATTTTTGAAGTAATTAGATACAATATTGTAATGCACGCTGAAAATTTCATACCTGTACCACAAATACTGTTTCGAATAAAGCTGTTATTATAATTATTATCACCGTTGTAATTTCTGTCAATTTGTAGATGATAAGAACCAGTAAGATAAAATGGTGTCGTCTTACACTGCAAATTTAGTTTGCCTTGCTTTATGAAAGTCCAACAAGTTTACCACATGCATGAAACATGATTTGTTTTTAAAATTAATTTATATATCACCAATATAAACAAACCTGATTGCAGTTTCTGCGACTAGATTTCCAAGCCATAAACCGCACTGTTTTGTAAGGCCACAGAAACACAAACTTAGATGAACAAGAAAACGACTTTTGGCTAAACCATTACACATTACACGACAACCACTTTCACCAATCCTGAATGTATATACATATATCAAAGGGTAAGAAAAAATAAGACTTTTTAATAAATTTTCGCTAGACAAAAACACATATGCATCATTGTCGCCAATAATATACACAAATGTTTAGTCATGATTAGTTTCTTTTTTATTCATTTCATTGCATGTTATCTAAGAAAACACCAAATAAAATTCCCGCGAAGCATTGAAAACAGACTCGGAGACTGCGGCAGATATGCTCACGCCATTATTGCGAAAGGTTTAGAAGGAAGGAAAGGTGCCTACTGATTGGAATATGTTAGGAAGAGGCAAAACACATGCAATTATCAAGTCATTATCATGTTTCAGTCAAGTTATTATCGCGTTATTAACAAGTCGTTGACATGCAATTATCCTGCTTGCACAATTCCAACTCTCAACCGGATTGGTTGATTTCCAGTCTACCTTATTTTCTGTATAAATACAGTCACTTTTGTCATAATAAATGAACCTGGTTTTACCGCTGATTCTCGCGTGTTCTGCTTTACCAGTTAAGTGGGCACTGGTCAGTAGTTAAGCAGTGATCTCGTGACAAAAGATCTAGCACCATAACAGAATGAATGCTGGCTACCTTTTCAAGCTACCAAAAAAAGGTTGTATTGCGCCTCATGCTGCAAAAACCAGCTTGGAATCATTCTCTTATCCACACCAAGTAAAATACTAAATCTCATCATCCCAGAGAGAATAAAAAATCCATTGGATGCAAAACTCCTTCAACTGAAACAATCTGGACTCAGAAAAGGCAAATCATGTGTTGATCAAATTGCAACTCTACACATCGTCATCGACCACAGCATAAGATGGCAGTCAAACCTCTACTCAGCTTCCCTCATCGACTTCGAAAAGACCTTCAATAGACAGCGTTGACCAAGAAGTAATTTGGAAACTACTTCAACACTGCGGCGTGCAGTGCCCAAGTCTTCATCGACCTCATTCGACAGCTACATGACAATGTCACTTGTCAAGTGATCCACAACGGAAAACTCAGTAAAGCCTCTGAAGTGAATACAGGAGTGAGACAGGGGTACCTGCCTATTATCACCGATGATATTCTTAATTGTTGGGAACTGGATTATGCGTCAGATTGTGCGTGGGTAGCGAGAAGATAGGAATACGTGAGACAATAAGAAGACTCTAGGAGATCTGGATTTTGCAGACTTACAGGCAGGCAGGCAGGCGAAAACCAACAAACTGGCAGAAGTGAAGACAGAATCCCAAGTGAACATAGAGAAGACAGAGTCGATGAAGATAATCAACCAACAGCAACAAAAACCAGCACCAATCACCATCTCAACGGGAAAGATTTGAAAGAGATTAATTCCTTCACTTATCTAGGAAGCGCGCGGTTTCAACCACAGGTATACGGCACGGATGAAGATGTCAAAGCCAGCCAACCAGAATCGGAGTGGCAAGATACACCTTCATCAACCTGAAGTGAGTTTGGATGTCTTATACCCTTAGAAGAAAGTGAAAGATTAGGATTTTCAACATAAATCTGAAATCAGTCAGTTCTTCAATATGGATCAAAAACCTACTAACAGGTTGAAGACTTTTATCAACAGCTGCCTTCGTTGGCTGTATGTTGAAGATTAAAATGACTGCAAAGAATAAGCAATGAGAAATCAACTAGCAACCTAAAGCTCAGGAAATATCCGGAAGAAAATACAGATAGGTGGGACATATGGTGAGGAGACCGTCGAATGACATTACACGCCGGGCCATCGGTCTATCGGAACCCAAATGGTAAACAACGAATTGAGCTTTTGTTCAAGGGTGACATGGCGGAGACCATGTGGCGAGGAGGCGATGAGAGATCATAAGCAATAGTGGGCCCAGTTGAAGAGGACAGCAAAAAATAGAAAAAAGTGGGGGGGGTGTTGTTGAAGCCCTATGTCCCACTCGGAACCCAAGGGGATAATAATAATAATATTATTATTATATTGCCTAAAAAACGAATTAGTAGTGGCGGGTTTTAATATTATATTTCACGATTGTCCTAACACTTACAACCCCCATATGTTTGGTACTCTCACCAAAAATTATTCTAATTCCCTCAAATGAGATAATCACTGCAAATGACAAAATATTTAGATCAAATCTAAATTATTTGGCTAATGGATCATTATGATTTGTGTTAGAAACTTGAACTGGGTGACATATCAGTAATTGGCTGAGCATTGTTTCACAGCTCTCTGAAATGACTCAAACCACACTTATGTGCCTGGCCTAAAACAAGCTGAATGACTGTTAGGTGTTTACTTCACTTCAATCTGGCTGGCTACAGCAAGCACTACTAGTTGATGTGAGTGGTATACAACTACTTATCCCATTAAATCAGTAGTATATATATAGTTTTATGCAAAAATGGTTGTTTTCTTGGTCAACATAACGCCTCGAGTGTGAGATCTACGTCTGTTATCACATTCTGTAGTGGGACAGTATATCAATACTATGTTTTGTCACTCAAAAGCTTTCAGTTCACTTAGAAAATGACACTAGAGTAACAGCTGGTGGCTAACTGGTGGCCAATTAGAGGACACAATGTATTAGTAGTTATTAAACGTAGAGGATGGAACTTTAATCGTGACTAAGCCAGACATAATATGGAGTTTTAAGAGAGAGGGATGGAAATTTCCAGAGTTGTTGGTGCTTCTTTATAAGTGTGGTAAAGTTCCGTCTCGGTATTAAATAAAATTTGAAGTCCTGATTATATTTTTCTTAAAATTTGCAATTGTATCAGTGAACTTGTCGAGTATTCTTAAAAATTAACGTGTTATTAGGATTCAAAATGGAAAAGCAAGCAAAAAACATGGAATTATAACAAAAGATATCTGATATTGGTGAGGGAAGAACAGTGGATGGAGCTAACCGTAAAGGTGAATAGTTCTAGAACACCATTTCTAACCCAAGCCTGAACTCTTAACATTCCGGTTGCATTTTCAACACGAATTTTTTACAACTTAGTCAAAATATTCCAATAATTGCATCGTATCTAGAAAACATGATATATTTTTTAAAATTTCAAATCTAGTAGTTTCAGTACTAGCTCTCTATTATCTAATTCTCTGGTTTTAATTCTATCATTTTTGTTCAGTATTTTTATCAACGAAATGAATGCACTTCAAAAGGGAATTTCTGACTGAAACATGAGAATTTACAGATCACTTAAATTCCTAAACAAGTGACTGTATAGTAAGCTAGCTTGGTCTAATAACCTGACGGTTCCAAGTTCTATCCTCGTTGGGATCTTTGATGTGCACTTATGAAAAATCCCTAACTAAGAGGAAACAGCTGTCCATTGTTCCCTGAGTTTTCAATAACCTATATAACTGGTGCTGACTCGTTACGAAATGTAAACTGTAATACAATCTTTGTATCGGTTGAATGATGCCGAAACCAAATGCATAATATCGCACTGTCATTCAACTCACCACCCACGCAGCCGCGATTCGAACCAAGGACCTTCCGGTTACAAGGCAAGCTGGTTCGTATACCTTTCAGCCACTAGGACCTGATTGAATGGCCAACCCATGAATTCTAACTTCTAGCAATTTGTGATTTTAGCGCCACCACCAACTAGTGTCATCGGTGAGTATATGTCCTCACATCCGGCCGGGTGTACTCCACTGGTCACGACTTCTCACTAGAACTTCAGGCGACTTTGTCCAACAACCAGTTACTAACGAGCATCGGATTGATTTTCAATAATTAGTTTGTTCTGTTCTTTTTCAGGATAGACCACGTATTTGCCGCCAGTGACACTGGTTGTCAGTTATGCTAAAATCACGAATAGCTAGAAGTTAGAATTCATGGGTTGGCCAGTGGCTGAAAGGTATACGAACCAGCTTGCCTTGTAAACGGAAGGCCCTGGGTTCGAACCATGATGGTGGGTGCGTATTGCCAGTAAGTGCCAAACTAGGGTGAAACATCTGTCCAGTACTCCAAGCTGGTTTTCAATGGTTCTCTAACTGATATCAGTCCATAGCTGAACCTGAAACAAATAGAATCCCAACAGACCAATTCTTGAGAATGTCAGACTTATTTGACATTCATTTCATAATGTTAACAATTACAGCTTTTTAATTTGCCATTTTACTTGTCCTGCCTTAGTTATTGCCGTTGCGGTACATACTGTCAGTGTCTACTAAATATCACAAAGCATGCCCACTAATTCATAATGAAAAACACAGCTTTTGTTCAGCGAAGAAATATCTCTTCTCAACGACTACATTTTCAAGTTGTACAGTCGTATTTACATTAAGGAAAAAGGTATGAAGTAGCACTCGGAATGGTTTAGTCGACAACTAAGCCTCAAATTCACAAGAGTCTTTTGCAGTCAGGTCATTCAGAACACTCACCCACCCCCGTGATCTATCCTTTAAAGTTAGCTACAGGACCAAATCGAACCACTCCAAAATCTTACGTTTTCTCCACTTATGCATAGCTGACGCTCCAGCGAAACACCGACAGAAAGCTAAATTATGTGTTCGAAAGTGTTTTTGTTAAACCTCTTTCTCTACCTTGGTCACAGTTATGTTATTTTATATTATTCTATTTTATCACTTGAATTCATTCAATTTCATTTCATCTTCACCGTTTTGTAATGTTATCATCATCGTTCGTTCCATTAATTTTTAGACAACAGACCCTACTGTTTAAAATCTAAATACTAATTGTATTAATAAGCAAAACAAAAAAATCAAGAGGGATAAGGGGAAAAGACATCATAATCCAATTTTCGCCGCAGTAGGAACAGCCTTCGAGTGTATTCATTTTGGAAACAAAGTTCCGGTTTAGTCGGTCCTATTGCAACATATAGCTTCAGCTATATGTAGGAGAAATCAGCGAACTGTACATGATAACAACCTCAAAATTTGGTATATAACCCTGAAGGCTGTGTTGGCGTCTGTGCAATGTCCAGTGTCGACCAAGTGTGTTACAAGTGTCATAATAAATATATGTGGGATTACACCAACAACTAAGTGGTAAAACTTTAAATAACATAAATATTTTGGAAACTTTACACAAAATATTACTCGTTAAAATCTAAGCATAATTCACGTAATGACTTGGAGACTGCAGTATTAGCGACTAGTGTACCAATACTCTTGGCATCTAGAAAACAGTCGATTAGTTCAAGACGCGTAATAGCATAACATCCTTTAATCAGCAGTCCACTCTGTAAAAGAATAAAGAGAAGAAAAAACAACAAACTAGAAATCCTTCTCTATTCAACAATTCATTGAGAAACGCTGGAATATGGTGAGAATAAGCAATCAGCTAACTAAGACAGCAGATTTCAAACCAAAACAACAACAACAAAACTTTTCAGCTTCTTATAGGCCCCATAAAATAGGTATTTATAACTAGCTGGTTGTGCCTTTCTAGTTTCACCTAGGAGCCCAACAGTGAATTTTGTCATCCAAGATCTTAGGTGGAAAAATAACTCACTTTTGTTTGAATTACTTTATTGAAGAATAAATATATATTTGGACTGGATATATACCTTTCCTTTTGTCAGTCATTTTCCAGTATTTTACAAACACCATGATTAATATTTGGAAAGTATTTTAGTAAGTTACAATCGCAAGTATAACCTCCACCACACCCAAAAATCTTAGAACTAAATAATGGGTAAGAGATAAATGTCGGAATCAACTTTGTACAACTTCACTGTATAGTTTACGAATTCATCAGAGTGATAGAGTTTTGACTGGCTTAGAAGACAGCCTTCTTAAAGGTCAAAGATAAACCTTTTCCAAGTGTTGGTTTGCGGGCATTTGATTTGATTGGTTACAGGATTTTATCATGAGCTGACATCATTTAGAGAACCATTGGAAAACCAGAGGTGATTACTGAATAGCTGTTTCGTCCCAGTTTGTGACTCTTCATCAGTACCCACCCACCGGGATTCAGACTCAGGACCTTTCAAATAAGAGGTTAGCTCGTAGACCAGTAAGCCACTGGTACCCGATCTAATGGTCCATGAGTTCAACTTCGTACAGTGGAGAGTCACAAACTAGGACGAAACAGCTGTTTAGTACTCCTTGTTGTTTTTTTTGCAACAGTTTTCTAACCTATATTAGCTCATAATGAAATCATATAGCCGATAAACCTTTTCTATGGACACAAAAGAATGCACAACAAATTTTCATGACTTTTTTTGTCCTCACATTATAATACCAAATAGTAAGCGTTCATAGACTTACAATTATGAGGAGATTAAGAACTAGTGGTTTTGTCAGTAATATTCATACTAAATAAATACAGTATTCACAGTCTTTTTAAGTAAGTTTGTCAACTGAAAGAAAGGGATACTGATCCCAGTTTTTATTTTGAATAATCAACTTCTGAGGGATTCTTTGGCCACCCACGATGAAATCAGTCAAACAGAAAAGCCTCTAACAACTACAAGTTTCGATTACACTTTAATGTCATGTTAGGTGAGTAATGAAACATAAAAAAGTACAATAACTCAGGCTTGTCTTTGACTTCAATTGAAAGTCAATTTAATAAGATCAGAAATAATTGAATAACAAGATTCATCCCTATAAAACACTATCTAATAGCAAAAATGAACATTTTATTGCATGAAACTACCAGAATATTTCAGATGACCCAATTTTGAAACTTATGATAAGTTTAGTAGTAGTTTTTGCTAACCATTACTGAATTTTTTATGCTACACTGTGCGTAACAATAAGATAATGAGGCAAGTTTACATGTCACTTACCAATGCTACCATGTCATCATTTTCAACATGACAGTCCCATACAAATAATTCTTGTATCAGTGTATATCGTCTTGCACGTATAGATTCAATTAACGGTAACAGTTTAACTAATGGTTTGTCTTCTTTCACTGGTTTACTTCTAACTTTCTTCTTCTTGATAGTTACACCTTCATCGGTGTCTTCTTTAAGAGCTTCGATCAGTCTGTCATCGTCCCAATATTCAACTATACGACGATCTTGTGGATCAACTAAAAACTTTAATATATTCGATTAATATTATTGTCATTCATATGAAAAACGTTTGCTGTGAAGATATAATTTAGCTTACTCTTGTCACAGGACGATCTTCTTCCAAAGCTTTTTTAAAACACTTTCTAATTGAATTACATACTGTTGTTTCATAACGCTCAACTCGATGTTCATAGTCTTTAAGCATTTCAGTCATTGATCTCACTATTGCTGTATCGCTCTAAGTTTGTATTATCAAATAAAATTAAGTTTTAATCTCACTTTTGAATTCTTTTTTGGTGGCATACTACAGTAAATGGAAAGAAAAAATTACTTTTTTTAATCTTCACTCGACTGCAATAAAATATCAGTTTTAAAATAAGGTATACTGAAATAAGTATTTCAACAGCAAACTCTAATTCCAGATTAACAGAAGGCAGCAGTTCAAACAAAAACAGTACTTTTTACAAATGTGTAAATAAGCCTGAGGAAATGCACAGCGAAATTAGTCGAACTATACTTTGAAGTAATTTATAGCAGGTCATGAAGCTCACCAGTCTAGCAGAGAAGGTTGGTGACGTTTATCCAGAGTACAATGTACATAAACTCAAGTTCTTATCTTCCAACTCCTATTGCATTTGTTTTGCTCGGATCAAAGAATGATAAAAACACCGGAGTGACTGTTTGAAATACGAGATACATTTTGGGACCAAAATCATGGCATGATGATTGCTTAGCTAGCTAGGGATCGTTCACAAGTAGCTGAATGTAATGTGCCAAATGGTGTGGGTGATTGATCACGGACTTTCAAATTGATGATCTGACTTAAACATCGAAGGTCAAAATCAATGTTGAGTGGAGGATGCTGTAAACTGCGAATTTCGGAGAATTATTTACCACTACATGATGTTGAGAGGAGTCAAGCAACAAAGGCATCCTAAATAAGTTCCCAAACAAATCCAGTGGGTCCACCCAAGCAAAAGTGTGGGAGTTTCTCGTTATTACGAGCAACATATATCACACATTGCTGCTAAACAGTAGAAATAGTATCACTCATGGACTCCACATAGTTATTAAAACCAAGCTGAGCATTATTACTTAAATAAATAAATGAATGAACTGTTTCTGCCATTTAGATGCATTCCTAAGTCTACATTAACTCCCAAATTAGTTGTTTAGCTTAGACCATAAAGAAATCGAAACAAAATGCTGATCATCTAAAATGTGTAATATATTTTTAGATCAGAGATGGCGACAGGTGATGGCGACCTAAGAAGCTGGAAGGCGTTCACGAATAACCAAATCTGTTACGACAGGACGCCAAATAATGTGAACACTTGACCGTGTGTCTTCAGTTTTACCAGACGAACTAAACATTACAGGTCAGTACCCACAGTTGAACTATAAAAGCCATAAGCAACTAATTGAAGAAAACTGTTTACGGTAGCAAGTATTTTAAATGCGATTGAGAAGAAGCAGTATTGGACGGTGGCAATATCTTGTTTGTTATTTCCATTATATCTTGTATATCAACATGGTGCTTAGATCACTTGGAAAATGCAGTAAAAGCGGGTGAATCTTTCGAAATATATATAAAACTAAAGATACATGCCAAAGAACGTAATGAAGAATTAAAAGCTCCTAGAAGGAACTTTTTAATGCAAGAAAAATTGACTTTCTGTAGCTTTTACGTAAGCATTGATGGCAATACATTTAACCATTTACCTTTGGCTGGTACATATAAATAACAAAAACCTGTAGTATTTTGCCTTTGCAGATGCTGATACGGATATCGATATACCTGACACCTCTTTATTATGATGAAGAAGATTATAAAGAATAAAACCAATAGATGTACTGAAAACTTAGAACTAGTTCAAAAGTCTCTAAATAAGAAATCAAATGTATATAAAAATAGAATATTACGAGATTTGATATCTAAAAGTCTTAAACTGCCAAGCTCACAGCAATCCTAAGCTTATTCTAACCTATTCTTCGATAATGCCTTTTTATCGTCAATGAAGATTTCATCTACCCACTATGTGCTGAAGTAACGCTAGTCCGTGCCTAATATGTCCTGTGAAGGCTGGGACAGTGCTGATAAGCAAGCCCGGTATGTCCTGATCCACTCCTGAAAATGCCTAGAAAAAGAAAATGGTGCGGTATTAGTACCAGTCATGCTGAAAAGCAGCACTGAGTTTCAGTCTGTGCCATTAAAGGATCCATTTCAGAACAGATTCAGAATTTATCCACTATAGAATGTTAGAATTATTTCAGAATTAGTGGGATTTAATTCAGAATTATAGTAAGCTAGGGATAGATAAACACAACAGAAACGTTCCTTTATCATGCCTTCAGATATCTTAAACAATTCTGTGAAACATCGAAATATAACTTGTAGTAGCACTACACGCGTGGCTTCAAGGTAGCTATGTTTTCAATATTATACCTTCCAATAATTTCCAGTAACATTATGACCGATATTATTCATAGAGAATATGTAAATAACCTAATGTTTCTTCACTTAGCGTCATGAAAGAAAGAATTTTTTGTACTAGTCTCGGCTACTTACACTAATAATTTTAGCGAAACAAGAAACCCTAGTTCGAAATCGTTTCAAGGTCGTTGCTGTAACAACCATCCAATATCCAATATCGTTTTTACGAGCTAGTATAAACCAATTTGATTTCTTTGTGCTCGCTTCTTGATTGTGAGGTATAGGTTCCTGATCTTCGGTAAACTTCTGCGTAGCTTGTCCCGCCACTCGACTGTCGTAGCTGTGGTTGACTCCAAAGGGAGTAGTGCTGGGATTAATTATATGTGGTTTGTAGTATGAGGTATGTTAAGACTGTTACTACTGTGATTGGAGTTGATCCTTTCGCCAGTTAGTCCTTCGGTATCGTCGACAAGAGAAAAGAGATATTAATTATAATAATAGTAATAATAATAGATATAATTAGTGAAGCTATTCAGACTGAGAGACAGAAACGAAAATAGGAAACGTAACAACAGTCAGCTCATTAAGTTTGAAGAATAATATATGTATCGGTAATAGTAATAATAATAATAGTAATTATAATATTAATAAGTTGTCGGGAGAGTAAGACGGGAGAGAATGTAAAGAAGTAAAACGACGAGTTTAATTATCTACCCCTGATTGGTATATGCGATTTTAAGGAGATGGGCCATTTGGATGCAGTCCTTGTATCGCTGCATGGTTGTCCAGCCTTCGCTTAAAGGCGTCCAAAGACGGTGCCATAGCTACATTTGCCAGTAAGGAATTCCAGAGACGACAAACCCGCAGTGAAAAGAAGTGGGAGCGCACCCGGGTCCTTGCCCTCTAGTGAGCTATCCTTCTGGGATTTCCGCGTGGGAGCCTATACCTACTCAATGGCAGAACACCTTTGTTTGGGTGATTCTGGTCATTTGTTATTTTGTAGGGAATAATTAATTCCCCCTAAGACGACAGTAGCTAAGTGTGAACAGGTCTAATTTCTTCAGCCTTTCATCATATGGTTAGTTTGGGAGACCAACCACTCCTTATGTTGCCCGTCGTTGGACTCTTTCCAAGAGGTTGGCGTCTCTTCTAAACAGTGGGGGTGCAATAATATTATGCACCTCAAGGTGTTGCCTGACGTATGTTTTGTACAACATTAGAAAGAGCTCAGGAGTGAGTGCACCTAACCCGCGCGCTTCGTGTAGGACGTTACAATCTCCCCATATAACGTGGAAATAACTTTTCGAATTCTGGAATATCGTGGTCTATGTTTGACTACTATATAATTATAGCTGATATTGGTTGCACCTCCGGTAGCTAAATATCCAAATTTATCACCTCCAGAATACTGTTTGTATCCAGTCAGATTCGTGTTAATAAAGAGCAATCTATCACAAAAGAACTATAGAGAAGTCCTTAGTTTCGTTGTTTATAACTGTCAGAGTTAACTCGTTTGATAGTGGTCTATTTTTAGTTCGTACTTCATACATTCATACCTGTTTATTGTTGTTTTTATTTACTTAGATAATATAACAGTATTTCACACACTTTTGTCAATTTTTGAGAAATTTTTATAATCTTTACCTCCATAATGGTCAAAGTTATTAAACGAGTTAGTACTGTTAAGAGACTAGCATCAAATAGTCAGTAGGTCACTAGAAACATTAGTCCTGACGATGAATTTGTACTAAGATCAATCGATACACCGAGAGTTATAGTACCAAACTTAATGGAAGAACTAATTGATAACGTAGCCCGTAACACTAGTGATCTAAAGATCCTTCAGAAATCCATAACAGACCTGCAGGATAAGTTTGAAAGTATCACTCCTTTCCTCCAACTTTGTGATCCATCACAAGAAATTTGCTTAGATTCACTCCTCAAATCTGAGCGCCTGCTAGACTTTTTGACTGCAGAGGCTGTAAAGAGGGTCATGTCCCCATACAATGTTTTAGGATATAATATACCAGACAATGTACCTATTATCAAACTTAAAGCAATCTGTCTACAGGCATGCAACATTTCAGTATCTGACTGCCAGGTTCTGCGTCTTCGTAAGAAATCCACAAACCACCCATGTCCTGTACTCTTCAAATTTAAGTCTATTGACCTAGCTAAGAAATTTTTGGAGTCTGGCAAAACTCTTGGCTCCTCAACACCCTACACCAATATCAGGATTGTACCTGATTTAACTTCTTGCCAAAGACGTTGCCGCGCAGGTAAACTGAGTGAAGACAACCCCAATAAGACAACCGATGTTAATACTTCCCTCGTTGTATTGCCTGATGACCAAGAGCACCAGATAATATCGCATACACAAACTAACAGTAGTCAAGCAACTGTTGAAGACTTAGCTCTAAATACTGAAATTTCAGACATAGAAATGTCAACAGATCACAGTATTGACGTGCATCCCTTGCACACTGGCACTAATGCCAAACCCTCGAAAAAGTCTAAGCTGAATTCAGTTGTACACTTTGAATCTCTCGAGAAGTCATATACCTCACAACCTCTTAGCCCGGCTACTGTGAAGCAGCAATCACATGTGGCCACCCAGGTAGGCGTAAATACAAGGCGATATGATAAACGTCCTATTTCCGTTAGGAACACCAAAAGAACTGTTGAGACCATTCAACAGAAATCCAGTTTATTAGGAAATCCTACTAATCACCAGCAGCCCAAATTACACAAGCCGACTAATACGGATAAAGCTAAACCAAACGTTAGACCCGGAACACTAAAGCCCATAAGTAGGAAAGTTTCAAATGGGTCACTGGCTCATTCTACTGATAGACAATCATCTAAACTTAGTCATGTTCCTGAAGTTAGACGTAATTCACATACCGTAGGAGCTGAATCATTTCCGACTTCCACTACCAGTCCTATGATAAGAAAAAACAATCGTCACATATCTCACCAAACACTTCGAAAACACGAAGTTGCTCAACCCCTCACGAATGCACCCTCAACCATGATGTACAGGAAACATCAGTTTGAGAATACAGACGTTAGTCCAAAAACACGTATAGTGCCCTGTCATAATTCTCATGCATTCAGTAGGGGTCACATGCCAATTTCAGCACAATGCTCATCATGGCCTAGGAAGTACTCTAATCAGACACAGGGATCTAAGTCATATGCACACAACAACACGCCGATCACACATTTCGGTTATAACTATGCAGATTACACGACACTAGCCAACCCATATGACCAAAATTTTCTCCAGCGACAACTGGCAGAAACGCCTGGGATCATGCACATAGCACGCATGATATCAGACCAATTCCTTGCTGGTATAGCGAACACCTTACAACAGGGAAACTGCTTCTTCCCCGAAAGATAGCAAACACCTTATACACACCTAATACCAATAGTAATACCTTAGATTATCATACTAGTATCTCCCATAGCACGCAATATCTAAACGACCAACTACTCACGAGTGACATTTCACAACCCATCCCTAACTATCAAATTAAAGAAACCGTCTCTAGTGATCAAAATGTTGTAATTAATGAATCCAATAACGACTGCACATATTCAGTTGATAACCATAGAGTATTTTATTATGATATTGCCCATAC